TGAAAAATGATCCTAAGTCACTTTTTCAGGGCCGTCATAACTCTGAACGGTCGAGGACTACCTGTATAGAATTTGCATGACATGAGGATTTAGAGTCGAGCTTATTCGGTGTATTGTTGGGTTTGATGGGCGTGAAAAGTACGAGGTTTTTAGTCCGCACAGTTGTGGGTTTGGCCTGGGGGAAAAAAAAGCTGTGGATTGTTGTTCAGTGGCTGGGTGTGTACCACACATCGGAAAGGTGAACGACACCAATCGAATGAGCCTCTGCAAGGTGAAGGGTAGCACTGATGGATGATGGAACCCCTTGCTGGCTGGGGAATTCTGGAATTAAAATGCAGACATGGTAAAACAGCTGAGGGATTCTGGGAGTTGAAGTCCGCCTATCTTAAAGCAGGCTGACTGGGGGATTCTGGGAGTTGAAGTCCACCCCTCTTAAAGCAAGCTGGCTGGGGGATTCTGGGAGTTGAAGCCCACCCATCTTAAAGCAAGCTGGCTGGGGGATTCTGGGAGTTGAAATCCACCCATCTTAAACCATGCTGGCTGGGGGAATTCTGGGAGTTGAAGCCTACCCATCATAAAGCAAGCTGGCTGGGGGATTCTGGGAGTTGAAGTCCACCCCTCTTAAACCATGCTGGCNTTGAAAGCGAAGTTTCTCTCCGACTTCCTCCTTTTTCGGCTCAGCAACAGCTTCTCTGCTTCTCGTTTCAAAATCCCCTTTTTCAGTGGCCTGTACAGGTAGTCCTTGACGTAGCAAGTCCCGTTGCTAAGCAAGGCAGCCATTAAGTGAATTTTGCCCTGTTTTATGACCTTTCTGCCACCGTCGTTAAGCAAATCACTGGGGTTGTTAAGCGAGGCATGGGGTTGTTAAACGAATCTAGCTTCCCCCCCCCCCCCGTTGGCTTAGCTTACTGGAAGCTAGCTGGGACGGTTGCATATGACCAGGTGACCCCAGGATGCTGAAGGAACCATCTTAAACGCAGGCCGGTTTCCAAGCTTCCAAATTTGGATCACATGACTGTGGGATGCTGTGATGGTTGTGGTGTGTGAAAAACGGTCCTAAGTCACTTTTTTCAGTGCTGTTGTAACGTCAAGTCACTAAACAAACGGTTGTAAGTCGAGGGTGACCTGAAATGGGGCAGAGGGAATGGATTTATGGCCCAACGCCCCAAAAAATCTGATTTTTTTTCTTTCTGCAAACATTCTGACAATACCTAAACCCAGGTTGAGAAATGCAATTGTTGCTAGCTGTGAAAAAAACAATAATGGGGTGATATTTTGTCTCGGTAAAAGATATTCCTGCATTCCAGGTGTCGACCAGATCTTTTCAACCATGAGGACTAGCGTCCTTTTTTATTTCTTTAATTTGTTTTCACCTCAAGCTTGTTGAAATCTGGCTGAGGAATAGCCCTCTCTGGACTCATGGAAAGCTCCGTATTTAATACCGTTCATGGTGGCTTGGGACTTGCAAACCCAATATTGCTGGCTTAATTCAACCAATGATGGTTTAAAGAAAGATTGCATTTAAACTGCCCAGAGGTTGCTGGGAAAAGCTCACAATCTGTAAGTTAAGGAGGAGGAGGGTGGAGGAGGAAAGTAGCGGAGCCCCTGCTGATTGGACCTCCATTGAATTTAAATTTAAAGTGTGGCAAAACCGAAACATTAAAAAAAAAAACCACTAAATTTTTTCCCCTTTTTTTCTTTCAGATCTTCTTCCTTTACTTTTTCCAACAAACTGGAGCCTTCATGGTAAGTTGCACATCCCAACGGTTCTGTTAAAGAAAAAAAAAATTCCCCCCAAATAATGCCTATGCATTATCCAATCCATACAAAGACATCTTGAATTGTCAGTCACCACAAGCAATTGACAGGAAATACCGAATTTTTGGAAGGGTTTTAATGTGGCTTTATGGGATTGTCATTTATCCTGTTGGGAAGGGTCCCCTTGCTAAAAAGCAAACCTCTGGGAACTTAAAATTTGTGCCTAGATTGATTTTTGAGAATAAGGTAGCCTTTTATATCTATTACGATAGGTTTTTTTTGTGGACGGCATTAGAACAAATGATATAATTCTATTATTTTTAATAATAATGTTTTCGTGTTTATATTCTTGTTTATAGGGCACCGAAGCAAACATTTAATTGCATTTCTAGTTTTGGAAAAATGTGCAGTTATTGTGTAATTCTGAAATTTGCATAATTGTAAATAAATGATAGTTTAACCCAGGGGTTTCATGGCAATTCAGATACACCCAGAGGAGCTTAAACATTTTCAGTGGGGTTATTAGAACTCAATTGTAGTGGTGGGAGGAAATTAAATAGAAGTTTAATTAAATGGAAAAGAAAGCAATGTTTTGGAGCTAATCAAGGTTTTAAAACGGGTGGGGGAGCTACCCCTCCCCTTTATGACCTGTGGACTTCAACTCCCAGAATTCCTGAGCCCAAACTTTCCGTTGCTACGTGAGACCGTTGTTCATTGAGCTTTGCCCCATTTTATGACTTTTCTTGCCCCAGTTGTTAATTGAATCACCGCAGTTGTTAAGTTAATAACTTGGTTGTTAAGTGAAACTGGCTTCCCCCGTTGACTTTGCAAAAGGGGATCACGTGATCCCGGGACACTGTGACCGTCATAAATACGAGTCAGTGGCCAAGCGTCTGAATTTTGATCACGTGACCCTGGGGAGGCTGAAACAGTCGTGTGAAAAATGATCCTAAGTCACTTTTTCAGGGCCATCGTAACTCTGAACGGTCACTAAGTCGAGGACTACCTGTATAGAATTTGCATGACATGAGAAAACCCACCTAAGTGAGGATTTAGAGTCGAGCTTATTCAGTGTATTGTTGGGTTTGATGGGCGTGAAAAGTACGAGGTTTTTAGTCCACACAGTTGTGGGTTTGGTCTGGGGGGAAAAAAAGCTGTGGATTGTTGTTCAGTGGCTGGGTGTGTACCACACATCGGAAAGGTGAACGACACCAATCGAATGAGCCTCTGCAAGGTGAAGGGTAGCACTGATGGGTGATGGAACCCCTTTCTGGCTGGGGAATTCTGGAATTAAAATGTAGACATGGTAAAACAGCTGAGGGATTCTGGGTGTTGAAGTCCGCCTATCTTAAAATATGAAGGCTGGGGGATTCTGGGAGTTGAAGTCCACCCCTCTTAAAGCAAGCTGGCTGGGGGATTCTGGGAGTTGAAGCCCACCCATCTTAAAGCAAGCTGGCTGGGGGAATTCTGGGAGTTGAAGTCCACCCATCTTAAACCATGCTGGCTGGGGGAATTCTGGGAGTTGAAGTCCACCCCTCTTAAAGCAAGCTGGCTGGGGGATTCTGGGAGTTGAAGCCCACCCATCTTAAAGCAAGCTGGTGGGAAAATTCTGGGAGTTGAAGTCCATCCATCTTAAACCATGCTGGCTGGGGGAATTCTGGGAGTTGAAGCCTACCCATCATAAAGCAAGCTGGCTGGGGGATTCTGGGAGTTGAAGTCCACCCCTCTTAAACCATGCTGGCAGGGGTATTCTGGGACCCACCTTAGAGTCGACCAGGTTGCAAAACACTGACTTACAGTAGTCCCATCCCCTGCCTGGAAGGTGCAAGAAACCCAATTAAATCCTCTTTTCAGACGTGACTTAATCCAAGCTCTGCTTACAAAGAGATGGAGAAGCCGCCGTTTCTTTCACTGTGGGGAAAAAAAAAAATCTCCTTGCCAGGAAATGTTTTGTGCCTCTCTCATTCATGACCATCGGTTGTAGATCCAGCCAGTTTCGGGGATTTCCCTTTGTCGAGATTGCTTTTGAGTGTTTCTCTCTCTTTTTTTTTGTTTTTGTTTGTTTCATCGGCAGGGTGATTCAATACTTCCTTTTTTCTCTTTTTGCTTCCAAACAATGCAAAGAGGACGAGAGCTTGTCGTAGGGCAGCGGGACCAGGCCTTTTGCTGGTGATTTAGTGGCAGGTTATTCAAGAAAGAGAGGCTCCCTCCCCCCCAAAAAAATTCCAATATTGCTCAAAGTTGGGATTTAAGGAAATCCCCCGTTGTCAAGCAGGAGGCAAGGCCTGGCCTGCTAAGAAAATTGTGCCATTGTGTACTATCTGGAGAAGGACACTGGAGGCGGCCTCTCGCAAACCTCTTAGGGGAAATTGGTTCGTTGTGTTTGTTTTTCTCCTTCATTTTCTCCCCTCCCTCCCAATCTTTATCTGCCTCCTCCTGGGGGGGAAGGGGGAGTCACTGACTTCAAATCAATCATGGTGATTGATTTGATTCATGATTGAATAGACACGCTGCTGATACAGGGTGTAAGGCCACCTCAAAATGCTGTATAAGTTGTCCTTGACTTAACAGCCACAATTGGAAGCAGCGTTTCTGTTGGTAAGTAAGGTGGATGAGTGAATTGCGCCCGATTTTACAACCTTTTTTTGCCAATGGTTGCTAAGCGGATCGTTATAGTTATTAAATGAATCAGGCAGTGTCCTGGTCTGGGAAAGGGGTTGTCTCCTACAATATTAATCCTTCCTTCCTTCCTCCCTCCCCATCTCTTTTCTTCCTTCCTTCCTTTCTTTCCTTCCTTTCCTTCCTTCCTCCCCATCTTTCTTCCTTCCCCATCTCCTTCCTTCTTTCCTCCCTTCTTTCCTTCCTTCCTCTCCATCTCCTTTCTTCCTTCTCCATCTCCTTCCTTCTTTCCTTCCTTCCTTCCCATTCTTCTTTGCTTCCTTCTTTTTCTTCCTTCCCTTTCCTTCCTTCCTTTTCCTTGCTTCTCTCTTTCCCCTTTCCTTCCTTCCCTCCTTTTCTCTCCCTTTTCCCCTACTTTCTCAATTCTTTCTTTCCCTTCCTTTCCTTTTTTCGTTCCTTCTCTCCCTTCTTCTCCCTCTTGCCCTCCTTCCTTTTACCTGTTTCTTTTTCCCCCCTTCCCTTTCTCCCTCCTCCTTCTCCTCCTCTCCCGTGCTCTCTTCCCTTCTTCTCTTTTTCCCCTTTCCCTTCTTCTTTCCTTCCTTCCCTCCCTCCCAGAACCCGCTCCCAGCAGCGCCCCCATGCTGGAGATCATCGAGCAGCCCAAACAGCGGGGCATGCGCTTCCGTTACCAGTGCGAGGGCCGCTTGGCTGGCTCCATCCCGGGGGAACGCAGCACCGACACCACCAAGACCCACCCCACCATCAAGGTCAGCCTTCCCTGCTCCTCTTCCCCACCTGCCCAGAAAGACACCCGTTTCCCAGAAGCCTTTGCGTCGGGTGGCTTTTAAAACCCGGTCCCCTCTGAGGCCGTCCGGGCCGAATGAAAACTTACCGGGATGTCATAGCAGGTTTGCCCTGTAGATGGGGATGGTGAGCATCCTTCCTGCCATCCAGCTGGGTGGAAAGGTTTCCTCCGGACATGCTCACTCTGGTGGGCAGCCATTTTGCGAATGCGCCCCCGTGAAACCCAACCTTTCCTTCCCCGGGGAGGGGATGCAACCCCAAGACCCCTTTGCCTGGCCCACATCCAACTCTTTTCCTTCTTTTGCCCCCAGATTCACAACTACCAGGGTCCGGGGAAGGTCCGGATCTCCCTGGTGACGAAGGAAGCCCCCCATCGGCCTCATCCCCACGACCTGGTGGGCAAGGACTGCAAAGAAGGCTACTACGAGGCCGAGTTGTCTCCGGAGCGCTCCATTCACAGGTGCGTCCCCGGGGCTTGGCGCCTCTTCCACGGGATATCCGGGCAAGGGGCAGGGATTGGGAGGTAGAAAATCGGAAGGACATCACCTCTTGGTCTCTTTTCCTTTCCCGAGTGGAGCGCTCACGCCTGCCTTTCTCCCCAGCTTCCAGAACCTGGGAATCCAGTGCGTGCGGAAACGGGATCTGGAAAAGGCCGTGACCAAGCGGATCGAGACCGGGAACAACCCGTTCAGTGGTAAGGAAGGCTGAGCCATTTGAGTTTGCGTGCGTTTGTGTGTGTGTGTGTGTAATTGCGGTAAAAATGTGGAAAACTAGCAATCTTGGGTTCAGAGTCATATTTTTCATAACTTTCTTTTCCCAGAGGGGCTGTCAGGCATCAAATCCAGCCTTTTTTTAAAAAAAAAATGCCCCATTAACTAAAAGATCATTAACAAGTTAGTCACCTTTTTCTGAAGCGCTCTGATTTTAGTGCTCTACAGGCAGTCCTCGACTTATGACAACTGGGAATTTCCAGTGCTAAGCAAGAGTTGAGTGAGACGTGGCCAATTCTACCTTTTTTTTTTTGCTACGGTTGTTAAACAAATCACATGGTTGTTAAGTGAATCCAGCTTCTCCCCTTGAGCTTGCCCCCCACCCCCGCCCTAGTGTAAGTGGTTCAGTGGGGACTCGAACCTCGAGTCCTCCCCAATTCAAGAGCCGACAGCTTCATTCTTTAATGGTCTTCTAAATCTCCTGATGGTCTCCTTTCCTTTTTCTCTCCTCTCCCCCCCCCCTTCAGTGCCGATGGAGGAGCTGAAAGGAGATTACGACCTGAATGCGGTCCGACTCTGCTTCCAGGTCTGGATTCGAGATACGGGCACGGGGCACTTGATTCAGCTGCCCCTGGTGGTCTCCCAACCAATCTACGACAACCGTGAGCGATGGCCAAAAGCGGGGGGGACGGGCAGGGGGGGCATTGCTTGGTTTAGGGGAAGAGACTTGAGTGGCAGATCCACCAGCAAGTCACAAGTGTGAGGACCGAGCATAACTCACTTTTATACATTGCTGTTGTCGCTTCGAACAGCCCATGAAGGAATGGTTGTAAGCCGAGGACTACCTGTCCTTTAAAAGTACGTAGAGTCAAGGCTACGGTTTTCCCAGTTGCAATGTATGGCTGTGAAAGTTGGACCCTAAGAAAGGCTGAGCGCCAAAGAATGGAGGCCTTTGAACTCTGGTGCTGGAGAAGACTCCTGCGAGTCCCCTGGACCGCAAGGCGATCCAACCGGTCAGTCCTGGAGGAGATCAACCCCGACTGCTCTTTAGAAGGCCAGATCCTGAAGTTGAAGCTCAAGGACTTTGGCCACCTCATGAGAAGGAAGGACTCCCTGGAGAAGAGCCTGATGCTGGGAAAGATGGAGGGCAAGAGAAGAAGGGGACGACAGAGAATGGGGTGGCTGGATGGAGTCCCTGAAGCAGCAGGCGTGAGCTTCAATGGACTCCAGAAGATGGTAGAGGACAGGAAGGCCTGGAGGAACGTTGTCCATGGGGTCACCATGGGTCAGACACGACTTCGCAACTAACAACAACAACCTGTCCTTTATTTTTTTTTAACCTTTCTGCAGGTGCGCCCAATACAGCCGAGCTGAAAATTTGCCGCGTGAACCGCAATTCGGGGACCTGCCTGGGGGGAGACGAAATCTTCCTTCTCTGTGACAAAGTGCAGAAAGGTAGGGCTTCTCCCGACAGCCCTCGGAAATTTTTAAAAGTCCTACGGAGATTCTCCGTCATCCAGGCCACCACCGTTGTCCCAAAGGTGCTTTTGGGGGGGCGGCCACTGGACTTCCTTTGTTTGTCCTTGAAGACGTTTCGCTTCTGATCGAAGAAGCTTCTGACTGAATGGTGGAGGGTGGAAGGGTTTCTATTCCTCGCAGTCATCTGGCCCTTGGTATTCCTTCTGAGAGTTGTTGAGGCCACTTGGAGGTTTATCTGGGCCCTCGGGGGTCACCTGAGTAGTGCAAACGGGTGTGGAACGCTCCTTTCGGCAGTTCCAAGTAGGTTCCACCCCCATTTGCACTATTCGGCATAGATAAATCTCCGAGTGGCCTCAACGACGCTCAGAGGGAGTACTAAGGACCAGATGACTGCGAGGAAGTCATCAAGTCAGAACTGGAAGAAGCTCCTTCGATGAGAAGCGAAACGCCTTCAAGGAAAAACAAAGAAAGCCCAGTTGCCTTTGGGGGGGGAAAAAAAACCCACCTTTGGGAACTTCCAGAATGTGGATTTTATTTATTGCGCATTTTCTCTCTCCTGAGCGTGTTTATTTTCCGGCGCCCGGCAAACATGTTTTGAAAACGTTTGCTCAGTCCGGGGAGAGGAACGTCCTCCCTCCATTGCTTCTCCACCTCTCTGCTTCTCTTTCCAGAGGACATCGAAGTCCGCTTTTTCAAGGATTCCTGGGAAGCCAAAGGCTCCTTCTCGCAGGCCGACGTCCACCGCCAGGTGGCCATTGTCTTCAAGACGCCGCCCTACGCGGACCAGGCCATCCGCGAACCCGTGACGGTCCAGATGCAGCTGCACCGTCCCTCCGACAAGGAAGTTAGTGGCTCCATGGAGTTCCGTTATCTCCCGGACGAAGGTATTTGTTCGTTAAAATGTTTACTTGCTGTTGGGAAGATCAGGAGAAAATCTCTCTCTTTAAGTCTGTTGCCAGCTTTGGGGGGGGGGGGGAATATTACAGCTGTGTCACAGGAGGAGTTTGTAAACTGGGCGCAATCCATTCAGAGGTATATTTTGGCATATCCTTGGCTTGTCGGCGAGCATATATATAGTAGGTTGCTGACCCTTTGAGTGTCTACTGAGTGCAGGATAATGAAGGGAAATCTTTTCCATCCATAAAAAATAAGTTGGTTTAGTAGTTATGGCACGAGGCTGGAAACCAGAGGCTGTGAATTCTAGTTCCATCTTAGGCATGGAAGTCAGTTCTGTCCCTTTGGGCCAATCACCAGGAGACGGGGAGTTCTAGTCCCGCCTTAAGCATGAAAGGCAGCTGAATGATTTAGGGCCAATCACCAGGAGACGGGGACTTCTAGTCCCACCTTAGATATGAAAGCCAGCTGGGTGACTTTGGGCCAATGACCAGGAGATGGTGAGTTCTAGTCCCACCTTAGGTCTGAAAGCCAGTTGATTGTGGGCCAATCACCAGGGGATGGTGAGTTCTAGTCCCACCTTAGGCATGAAAGCCAGCTGGGTGACTTTGGGCCAATCACCAGGAGACGGTGAGTTCTAGTCCCGCCTTAGGCATGAAAGCCAGCTGAGTGACCTTGGGCCAATTACCAGGAGACGGTGAGTTCTAGTCCCACCTTAGGTCTGAAAGCCAGTTGATTGTGGGCCAATCACCAGGGGATGGTGAGTTCTAGTCCCGCCTTAGGCATGAAAGCCAGCTGGGTGGGCCAATCACCAGGAGACGGTGAGTTCTAGTCCCATGAAAGTCAGCTGGTGGACCTTGGGCCAGTCAGTCTGAGTCTGACCCACCTCACAGGGTTGTTGTTGTTGGGAGAAAAAGAGGAAGGAACATTAGGTGCTTTAAGTCAGTTCTGAAAATAATAAAGGCATAATAAAAATAATAATATCCTATCTATCTAAACTGATTCCCCCCCCCCTTCCTCCCTTCGGCAGGCGATTTCCATCGAATCGAGGAGAAGCGTAAAAGGACACTGGGCACCTTCAAGAACTTTGTTCAGAAAACACCTTTTGCAGGTAAAAAGGTGGCAACTATGGGGGGGGAGAGAGAAGGGGGGGGTCAGCCCCATTTGAAAGAGCTAACCTGGGAAGTGGGGAGAGCCCCCCTTTGATTTGGTTGGGGCTAGGCAGGTGAGGAGGACATCCTTCAGGGGGTTTGGACTACAATGCCCATCAACTCAGGCCTGGTCTAGTATATCATGGATGGGACTCTGATGAGATGTGATGACCTCATTGATTTCAGGAGTAATGTGATCAAAAAGGCTGTTATTCTGTTAAAATAAAGGTTTAGAACAGGGGTGTCGAACCTCGACAACTGGAAGCCTTGTGGACTTCAACTCCCAGAATTCCCCAGCCAGCTGAGTGATTTAGGCCAATCGCCAGGGGACGCTGGTGCAGGCTGGGGAATTCTGGGAACTGGAGTCCACAAGTCTTAACAATTGCCGAAGTTGGACACCCCGGTTAGAAACAGAGCTAAAATGAGACAGAAAAACGGAGGCCGTGAAGAATTCCAGATGTTTGCCCTTTCAGCCCAGCTCAAGGGAACAGTGGTTTTCCTTCAAAAGAACCAAAATTGCTCTTTGAAATAAGAGGCTTATTTTTAAAGGCCAGCATTTCTGAAGCCGACAGTCACGGTTTAAGCCTGTTGCTTTCCTTCCTCAACAGTAGGAACCGCAGAAGCACAGTCTCCACGCCGCATTGCCGTTCCAAAACACGGAGCAGGCCGGCCTAATACCAGTGGTGAGTTCCACCTCGTTCCCAAATATTTTCGGACACTGCCAGAGAGGGGTCTGGAAGGATTCGGAAGACTTTGTAAACCCGCATTTGGGTGGAAGTATGCAACTGTACAAGAGAATATTTGTAGCTAAGGGGTTGAACCGTAGGGTCCCTTGGTGCTCTCTGAGCTGGGTGGTTTTGTTGCAGACGTTTCATGACCCAACTAGGGAACATCATCAGTGCTAGAAGGAAGCGGGGGAGGAGGAAGAGGAGAACTGTGGGGTCCTTGGTGCTCTCTGAGCTTGGTGGTTTTCTTGCAGACGTTTCGTGACCCAACTAGGGAACATCATCAGTGCTAGAAGGGGCAAACCCCACTCTCTTTTAGCAATGAGAACAATTGATCGGTGGAATGGCTTGCCACCAGAAGTTGTGGGTGCTCCATCGCTGGAGGTTTTTTAAGAAGAGATTGGACAGCCACCTGTCTGGAATGATATGGGGTCTCCAGCTTGAGCAGGGGTTGGACTAGAAGACCTCCAAGGTCCCCTCCAGATTCTATTCCATTCCATTCTATTATTCTGTAAGGGTCTCCAGCTTGAGCAGGGGGTTGGACTAGAAGACCTCCAAGGTCCCTTCCAACTCTATTATTCTGTATTCTCTTTCTTTCCCTCTCTTTTCACCCCCCCCTTTCTCTCCCTGCTTAGTTCCAATTCTCTTTTCTTGCTGGGGACGGAAAGACCCAAATGGGCCTCGTTTCCGAGATGGGTTATTCCTCCGTTTTAGGCACAGTGAGCAAATTTCAGCCGTCGCTCATGTAGGATTCGAAACTACACCCGTCTCCAATTTTGAAGAAAGCCCTTGTAGCTTCTCGTTGGCTTTGGCCACAGCCCAAATTCCTTAGTAAGCCATGCTTTGCTTCTCCCTCCAGCCATGCCAGCCTTTCTAGGGGCATCAAGCCAGTCGCCTCTGCGCCCGATTCAGAAGCCACAAATCCTGGCTCAGCCTCCTGCCGGCTTCTTCGTCGGGTCCAGCCACTCCACCCCGCCGCCTCCGGCAGCCGCCGCCTCCAGCTTCAGCACGGTCAACATGGAGGACCTGTCGTGCCTGGGTGTCTCCCCGCAGGCGCCGCCCTCCTCCATGGACACCGAAAGCAGCATCGCCGACGCCTTCCTGCACCTCCACTTCGAAGGCGCGGATCCCCTGGGGGGCCTTTTGGACGACGCCCCCTACAGCAGCCTGGATAGCATCAACACCACCGAGTTCCGGCAGCTGCTCAGCGAAGGAGCCGGCCCCATGCCGCAGCCGGGGGACCACCAGGCGACTCTGCTAACCTACCCAGAATCCATCACTCGCTTGGTCAGCCAGCGGAGGGCGGGCGGGGAGCCCGGCGGGGACGGTGGGGGGCCTGCCGGTTCGACCAACAACAGCTTCCTCAACGGCCTCTTGGGGACCCTTCCCGCTGAGGATAGCTTTTCGTCCATGGTCGACTTGGATTTGAACTCGATTCTCAACTCGTAAGAATCCCAGGGATGGCCCGCTTGGTCTGGCCGATTGGAGACTCGCAAGTGCGCTCTTCAGCCTATGGGGGGGGGGCTTCTGGCTATTTTTGGGGATGTGGTGGGAAGGGTCCGCCTTCAAAGGGGGTGGGGGTGGGCTTGGCCTCTGCAAATTGGACGAGACGTTCTGGCCCTCCCCCCCAGACCCCCATATGCCTCCTCTTTGGGGAGCTGACAGTATGAAGATAGGAAATGGAACGTGACGTGCCTTTTGAGCGTTTTTCTGCCTTCCGATTTGGCAGGCGCTCTTTCTGAGTTTCCTATCAAAATGCAGCACTGGTTTTCATATATATACGTATATATATGGGGGGGGAAAGCCTCAAACTTCCCAGAGTTTCAAGACATTTTTTAAATATTGCGGGTTTAAAAACAAAAGAGGATCCGACTTCTTGTCCCCCGCTTGCCCCTTTTCCTATTCAGCTGGCCCAAGTTGGCCCCCCTTTTTTAAAAAAAACAAACAAACCACCTTGCAATAATTCCCTTGCCTTTAACGAGGCGGCCATCACCATACAGGTAGTCCTCGATTTACAACCATTCGCTTTGGGACCGTTCGAAGTTACAACGGCACTGGGGGAAAAAAGTAAACTTATGGCCATTTTTCACATTATGACCGTTGCGGCATCCCCCTAAGGCAGTGGTTCTCAACCTTTTTAATGCCGCGACTCCAACCGGTCGTAAGTCGAGGACTAAACCGGTCGTAAGTCGAGGACTAAACCGGTCATAAGTCGAGGACTACCCAACCGGTCGTAAGTCGAGGACTTTCCCTGCCCGGGAGTGCCGCGCATGCGTGGTTCCACCCCCTGCGCCGGCCGAGGCGTAGCTGGCAAGCGGCAGAGACGGAGCAGGCCGATCACCAGCTGGCCCAGTCCAAGGGAGGTAAGGCACCCGCCGGAAAAGGGGGAAAAAATGGCGGACAAAAAAATGGCGGACAGCCTTGCTTGGCGACCCCCATGAAATGGTCGATCGACCCCAAATGGGGTCCCGACCCACAGGTTGAGAACCACTGCCCTAAGGTCACGCGATCCAAGATTCGGGTGCTTGGCACCTGACTCAGAGTTACGACGGTCGCGGTGTCTCCCGGGGCCATGCAATTTCCCCCTTTTGCGACCTTCGGACGAACAAAGTCGATGGGGAAGCCGCGTTCGCTTCACAATCGGTGTTACTAAGCGAACAACTGGAGTGATTTCCTGGCAAGAAAAATGGGACAAAACTCACTTAAGAAATGTTTCACTTGACAGACATTTTGGGCTCAAGTGTGGTCATACGTTGAGGACTACCTGTATAGGACTGACGCAATGCCCGTTTACGTTTTTGGCAAGGCACGGGAACTTTGACCGGGGTGCCTTTTGTACACAAGACTCGTTTTATGCCTTAAAAATGCTGTCGCAGCTTTTCTGACGGGCCGGACTAAATGCTGGAATCTTCCCGCAGAGCGGGATGTGATGTTTTTAAACAACGGCACAAGAATGCTTCCGCCAGAACATGGTTCTTGTTGGGCTTTGCAACTGTGTGTTGGGAGGAGCAGGCCTGTGTGATTGTGTGTTCTTTAGGTCAGCCACAAGGCTAGACCAGACAATGGAGGAGGACACAGAAGGAACGGCTGGCTGATGTTCAGGCACCCCTAAGAAAAATTAAAGGGACTTCGTTCACGTAATGATGCACTGAGTTCGATTAACAGGAATCTGGCTTTGTCAAAGCCTCGACTAACCGTGCGGGCTGGGTTAACACAACACCCGAAGCCTCAAAATACCTGAGGTGTATAGAGGGCGTTGTGTGAATGCAGCTGGCACCCCAAAGAGATAAGTGGCTTTTTTTTTTTTCCTGCCTGCTTTCTGCTTTCTGGCTTGAGCAAAAACCCAGTTAGGAGAGTGGCAAAGTTAGTCCGTTTAGGCCAGATGGAGGAGAGGAACAACCTACACCTCCCCTTCGTTGTGTGGATTCTGACGGCATCCCACACACCAATCCTGCAGGGTGCAAAGAAGGGAGCTGCGATCACAACCCTGCTGCCTTATTTCTTTTTGTACTATGCAACTTTTTTTTTAAAAAAAAGCGGGAGTGGATGTTCAAAACATAGTTAACCTGCTGTTACTTTTTTTAATGCGTTTCTTTGCTCTCTTTTTTTTGGGGGGGGGGAATGTAAATTAACCGTACTTGTTTTGTTTTCTCCTCACTGTAGCAGGTTCTAATAAACTCAAGCCTCAGCACTGCTGTGTAGTAAGGTGTGTGTTCAGGTAGTCCTTGATTTGCAACCGTTTGTTCAGTGGCCGGAATGGCAAGAGCACTTGACAAAAGTGACCTGTGACTGTTTTTCACACTTACGACCATTACATCATCCTCGTGGTTGTGGGATCAAAATTTAGACAATGGCAACTGGCCTGGATTTCTAATGCTTGCAGTCTCCTGGGATCATGTGATCCCCTTTCGCGACCTTCTGACAAGCAAAGTCAATGGGGAAGCCAGAGTCAGCATGTTGCTTACAACTGCAGCAATTCATTTAACTGTGGCAGAAAAGAATTCCTCCACCACTATCCATGGACCACAACTCCCAGAAGCAGGCTGGCTGGCTGGGGAATTCTGGGAGTTGAAGTCCCCCACTTCTTAATGCATGCTGGCTGGGGAATTCTGGGAGCTGAAGTCCACCCCTCTTAAAGCACGCTGGCTGGGGAATTCTGGGAGTTGAGGCCCACCCATCATAAAAGTTGCCACAGCCGCAAAACTCTAGAGCTACCTGCTTAATACAGCAGAGGTGTGATAGTCAAAGGGACCTGATTTCCAGTTCAACATTCAGTTTTTACCCTCTTCAGGCCATTAAAAGCTTAATTCAGGAAAGCATTATGTTCCCTCCATGCAAAACATTAGGGCCTCTTTGTTCCCTCTGCTCCTGGAACAGCCAAAGTGCTTTACTTTCCGACACTCAAAAGAGTTGAGAACTTCCCCAAACCTTTCGCAACCTGGGTTCATCACAAAGGTGCTTTTTCAAACTTGGATTCCTCTATAAATTCCAAAAGTAAACTCGCGGGGGGAATGCCTTTTATTTTCAGTCTAGTTACAGGCGAGCGCAGCCAAGAACCACAAAAATAAAATTCAATTACTTTTGAGCAAAGACCGGAAAGAAAGATTTAGCCTACCTCTTGCCTAGCGTTTTTCCACTTCACGCCTCCGTCAAAAACTTAGTACTATTTTTCCCTCTTGATGCTGCATTCGGATTTTGATATCTTCCCCTCCCCCCCCTTACTTCCCAAACACCTTCCTAGATGGCAGAAATTGGACACCGCAGCCAATTTTCTTCTTTCTACTGCTGGCCAGCCATTCTGCAGGAAAAGATTGGTAGGGATTATCTGTTGGGCTCCTTCTGCCATAAAAAGACAAGCTTCGAAGCCGATCAGCTCGCACAAGGTTGTGCCGCGCACACAGTTTGGCGGTTCAAATGGTAAATGCAGAGGTCCACTCGTGTAGTTGTCAGAAACTTTTGTTTCAAGCTTCTCGGCCGGAACTAACAGCCCCGTGATGGAGGCAGAAATCCCATCGATGCAAGCTTTGATCCAGCCCGCCTGCGGTTGGGCAAATCTACCACTTCTGAGAAAAAGAGAGTCAACATTGCACAGTGGGATTGTGTGGTCCCCAGCCTTAAGTGTGGGAGCGTTAACACGCTCAAGAACGGGACTTTTAAGTCACTTCGCTGTTGCTCACCTTGTTCGTGATACGTGAGCGCCGGGGGACGCATTCCAGGTCAAACCTGCTTTCGTAAATGGTGGGGCAGAGATGCCAGCGGTTGTCGCGGTAGATGCCCAGGTAGGTGTAAGCATCAGGCTTGTAGGATAAGAGGCACTTGACCCCCGTGGCCCGGATCACGGAATCGGCCACCAGTACTTGCTCTTCGTTGGTGAAATCGTCTGTGTACACGCAGATCACGTGTTTGCGGTCCGAGTCGGGGCAGCAGGGGCTGACTTTGGCCACCCCGATTCGCCCTTCCAGGACTGCCCGGGCGATGCCACACCAGGCGTGGTCCACTTTGAAGCCGCTGTCCAGGTGCATCAGCCACTTCCCGGTTAGGACCCGCCGGTTAAGGGCCAGTTCCTTGATCGACTCGAAAGTCACGTGGCGCCCACTCAGCTGTAAGTGTTCCCAGTCCTCCTGTAGCCCTACGACATCGCCAGCTTCTGGAGAGAAGCTGGGGCTGTAGATGGCAATCCAGCCCACCGGCTCGGTGTTGCACTCCGGGTTTCCATAGCGAGAGACGCGGGATGGCTGGTAGGTCTGGAGCCATTCCTCAAATTCAGCTTTGGGGGTCTTGCGGGCGTCAAAGACCACCCAGGAATCCATGTCTGCGGCCATGGCTTCGGCAGCCAAATCTTCACTGGCAAAACACCCATCCTTCCCAGTCTCGTCGTGCTGGCTAGCCATGGTTTGGCAAGGCACCTGATGGGGAAAAAGGTTAAAATCAGGAAGGGATCGACCCACTTCAGGCCACCGCTGGGAGCCAAGTCTAAATGGGTCTTTTCAGCTTAACCCGGGTTTCCACAGCACTCTGTACACTCCTATTTTAAACCAGGTTGCATCCTGAGGTTATCTTCTCCATTTGCTCTTCTCTTAAGAACACTCCCAAGGGAATCATCTTAAAAGTTGCATTCATGGCCAAGATCCATCTGTAATTGGGCTTAGATTTAAATTGTTCAAAATTGCTGGGCAACCCACAAGGGTCTATAATAGTTAATTACAGAAACTGTAAGGAGGAGCAATTTAAAAAAAAAAGCCTAGGAACTAGACTTAAAAAGGCTGGAATTATGAAAACCGCAGTTCCAAAATATCAAGAAGACTCCTATTGGCAGAAAGTTGTTGTAAAACCTTTTGAAAGGGGGTAACAGTGCAAAAAAATGGGTGTCATTCAAGTGAATAGGAACGAGAGTTTTAGGATATATAGATAATTCTTAAAGGCTCTTAATTTTAATAGTAGTAATAAAATACCTAAAGTTTTTCAATAACAGTAGTAATGCATATTGACTCCTAATTATAGTAATAATGCCTAAATAATGCCTAAATAATGTTTAGTCTCCCAATATACTATAGTAGTAGTAACACCTATAATAATAATAAAGGTTTTCCATCAATGATAATTAACACCTAAAGTCTTCCAACAATAGTTACAATACTGAGTTTACTAATAGTAGTATTAATGCGGAGTTTCTCAGTAATAAAAGTAATGTCTAAAGTCTTATAATGCCTACTCTCCCAATAATAATAATAGTAGTAATGCCTATACTCCTAATAGTAACACCTAAAGTTGCTCAATATTAATGGTAATAACGTCTAAAGTTTTCTAATAATGCCAAGTCTCCCAATAATACTAATAATGCCTAGTTTAATAATACTAGCAGTAATAATGCCTAGTTTCTGAATAATAGCAATAATGTCTAAAGTCTCCTAATAATGGCATTCATACTAATAGAGGTAGTCCTTGACTAATAACCCCAACTGAGCCCAAAATTTCTGTGGCTAAGTGAGACATTTGTTAAGTGAGGTTTGCCTCATTTTACGTCCTTTCTCGCCACAGCTGTTTAGTGAATCACCACCGTTCTTCAGTTAGTAACATGGCTGTTAAGTGAATCTGGCTTCCCCATTGACTTTGCTTGCCATAAGGTTGCAAAAGGAGATCACCATGAGCCCAGGACACTGCAACCGTCATAAATGTGAGTCAGTTGCCAAGTGTCTGAATTTTGACCACATGACCATGAATGCCATAATGGGTGTAAATGTGAAAAACAGTCCTCAGTCACTTTTTTCAGTGCCGTTGTAACTTTGAACAGCTAAATGAGCTATTGTAAGTCGAGGACTACCTGTAAAATTGCCTAAAGTCTCCTGATAATAGTAAATTAATTAAACACTTACTTTATTATTATTAGAAAACTTTAGGCCAGGGGTCTTCAAGCTTGGCCCTTTTATGACTTGTGGACTTCAACTCCCAGAATTCCTCAGCCAACTTGGCCCCTTTTATGACTTGTGAACTTCAACTCCCAGAATTCCTCAGCCAGGCACGCTGCCTGAGGAATTCTGGGAGTTGAAGTCCACAAGTCATAAAAGGGGCCAAGTTTGAAGACCCCTGCTTTAGGCATTAGTACTATTGTTGGGAGGCTTAATGTGTTTAATAAATTAAGTTAATGTATTAAATGCTGTAATACACTAACCACAGGTTATAGTCGTAATAACGCCTCACCAGCTTGGGGAACCCATTAAGTCCTTTAAAGAGCGTTTCAAAACACGAAAATATAAATCTTCCCTCATTTCTGCTCCCTCAGACAAGCCCCCTTCGCTCTCTTGCAGCTCCTCGGCACGAGAAAAGCCATATAAAAATAAAACTACAGCAAGGGCGGGGATGGCACCGTCCTACCTTGCAAGGCTGTGGTGAAGCAGAGCAGGCAGGAGACTCCACAGCGTTAGGGCAAAATTACCGAGTGTGCGGGATTACGACGGCCGCCATTCGTGAGGACCCATTTCTATACACCCTTTCCTATTTTTAGGCCGGCCCAGAGAGGGAGGAGAACCGAACAACTGGGGTCAACCCCCCCACCTGCACCCCAAGCCCGGCCTCCAGTTTAGTCTTCCACAATCCCGTCCCCCGTTACCGTCACAACGGACCGGGGCAAACGTAAGAACGAACGCGCACACCCCGGAAGTGGATGGGGGACCAAAATAGTGATGGACCGGAAGGCCTAAGGAACCAAAATGAGGCGGAGTAACCCGCCTCGCCCTACTTTGCCTCTATTTTTATTACTTCTATTTGGCCTCAGCATTACTTTGTTTATGCTTCTCATTACGAATTTGCATATTTAAGAATTATCCACTTCGGCCGAGACATGACAGAACGGGAAGAAGGCCCGTCAAGCCAGTCGCTGCCATTTTGGTCGCCATTTTTCTAGGGGCGCGTGGAGCGTCGCCGCTCTAGGATTTGACACGCCCAATAGCTCAGCCCACGCATCCATCCATCTGTTTCCACATGGAGTGGGAGGCACTTCCGTTGTGAAACGGAAGTGTGGCGAAAGAGCCAGGTTCAGGCTGATGAAACTCAATGTTTCCTTACTATAGTAACTTTAAGAAATATGTTAAACTCCCAGAATTCCCTGGTCACACCTCTTAAAGTTGCTATGGTTGGAAAATGCTGGTCTCAGCTCTTGAAAACAAAATATATAGGTTAAAATCTATGTAACAATTCCTTCTTTCTTTGTTCTCGGCAGCCAGCAAAAGGCGATATAACATATCTTCCTGAAATAAATGAGTAAAAATATAAATACTATATAAATAAAATGTAAATCGGATAATTCTACTACAATAGCACATTCTCTCTACCTTAGCTTCACACAACAGCATCCAAGCCGTAAAAGAATAGAAAGGGAAGATATGAAACAAATGATGAAAATAGCATGGTTTGGGATATGTTCCAGTTATGGAATGATTGCTGAACCATCAGGGTCACATGTAATTAATATAAACATCTGTAAGTCACAATATTTCACATTTGGCATGCTGGCTGGAAAATTCTGGAAGTCCATCAATCATAAGGCATGCTGGCTGGGGAATTCTGAATGTTGAAGTCCACACATCTTAAAACACTCTAGCTGGGGAATTCTGGGAGTTGAAGTCCACCCATCTTAGAGCAGGCTGGCTGTGGAATCTTGGGAGTTGAAGTCCTCCTATCTTAAATTTGCAAGGTTGGATCAAAGCTCACACCAACTCAAAGGACTGCAAAGACCCAACCAAGCTTTACTCCAACAACCTCTTGTACAAAACCAACATTTCCCAAAACCTATTCTCCAAAGCACCTGAAGGCAAGACAAGAATCAATGGATGGAGACTAATCAAGGAGAGAACCAACCCAGAACTAAGGACAGTTAGAACAATTAAACAGCGGAACAGCTTCCCTCCAGAAGTGGATGCTCCATCACTGGAGATTTTCAAAATGAGATTGGGCAGCCATTTGTTTCAAATGGTAGAGTCTCCTGCTTGAGCAGGGGGTTGGACCAAAAGACCTCCAAGATCCCTTCCAACTTTGTTATTATGTTAAGCAGTGGAACCGCTTGCCTCCAGAAGTTGTAGGTGTTCCATCAGTGGGGGCTTTTAAGAGGAGACTGGACAGCCACTTTTCTGGAATGGTATAGGGCAGGGGTAGGCAACCTTGGCTCTTTAATGACTCGTGGACCTCAACTCCCAGAATTCCTGAGCCAGCCATGCTGAGGGGAAAGGGAGAAGTTTCAATGCTGAGCCATGCTGGTTCAGGAATTCTGGGAGTTGAAGTCCACGAGTCATAAAAGAGCCAAGGTTGCCTACCCCTGCTATAGGGTCTCCTGCTTGAGCATAGGGATGATGATGATGATGATGATGATGATGATGATGATGATGATGATGATGATAATAATAATAATAATGATGATGATGATGATGATGTTAGAAGGGACCTTGAGGTAGAACAGAACAGAGCTGGAAAGGACCTTGGAGATCATCTAGTCCAACCCCCTGGCCAGGCAGGAAACCCTACACCATTTCAGACAAATGGCAGTCCAGTCTCTTCTTTAAAAAACTTCCAACGTTGGGCGCATCCACCACTTCCGTTTGGACCAAGTTGACCTCCCAGGTCCCTTCCAATTCTGTTTATTCGGGCTAGCTAGTGCAAGGGTAGAGGTTTCCTGCGGCTTGCACCCTAGGGCGCCCTCTGCACATGCTTGGAGGAGGCATTCTCTCCTACCCACCCTCGCCTTTGCCCTCGTCCGGGTCTGCAGAGGAATGGGGCCCCTCCAGGCCGCCTTGCTGCGGATGGAGGAGGAGGAGGAGGAGGAGAAAGTAGGAAAGGCGGCGCTAGGACCGCGCGGGGGCGGCCGGCTCCTCCCAGGCTGCCGCCGCTGCTGCTGGAGCCTCGTCCGGTGCGGGGCTCGCGACAGGCCCGGGCGGAGCGGCCGCTGCTGCTGCAGCCGCCGGCGCGACGGGAGAGATGCCGAGCAAGAAGAAGAAGTACAACGCGCGCTTCCCCCCGGTGAGAGCCCGATCGGCCGCCTCCCGCCCCCGGGACGGAATTGCACCCACCCAGCCCAGCTGGGGCGCCCCGGGCGGGATGGGCGCCCCCCTCCCCCCGGCCCTGGAAGGGGAGGGGGAAGGATAAAATGAGGGGAGGGGGCTTGATTGCAACCAGGGAGACCCTCTCCTCCTTTGCAGCCCCCTAACCCCCTTTGCAAACTCTCTCCTCTCCTTCTGCAGCCCCCTCCTCCTTTTAAAGCTCCTCTTTCCCTCCCCCCCTTGGCGCCCCCCTTTGGCGACCCCCCTTCTTCTCCTTTTGGAGCCCCCCTTTTAAAGGACCCTCCTTTGCCAACCCCTTCCTGCTTTGGGGACCCCCTCTCCCGCTTTGCAGCCCCGTTCCCCCTTTGCAACCTCTTCTTCTCCTCCTTTTGCAGGCCCCCTCCTCCTTTTAAAGCTGCCCTTCCCTGGTTGGAACCCCCTCCTCTTTTTTGCCATCCCCTCTCCCCCTCTGCAGCCCTCCTTTTGCAAGCCCCCTCCTCTGTTACGGCCCTCTGC